GATAATGACAATGTAAAAAAAATGATAGCACAATTGAAAAAAGGGAATGAGAAATTATCCTGTGAGACCGTTGTGCAGACAAAGGCTGAGGACCAGGGGACTATGGCAAAACTGGAAGATCAGATAACGACAATGAATATCAAAGGGCAACACAGAAAAATTGGCTCAAGCCAACAGAGCTGAGTTACATTATCAATCAAATCAACTCACAATTAGGAAAAAATGTTTGGCCTTGAGGACAGAGCTCGTAGGCCAAACCTTCTTTTTCAAAACATTCTGGCACAAGAAAGACAACTTACAGGAGCTCTCTTAGAATAGCTTAAAGAGGAGAAATGGGAACACAAAGATTACACAGACTTGGTTTCCAATGAGGATCTAGAATACTTCTGAGAGATGTAACAGTTAGGTTTTCTAAACTTTACAAGAAAGAATTGCTTATGAGAAGACTGAGAGAGAGGCTGGATCAACGGAAATTTAAAGAAACACCCATTCAAGTCTTCCAAGATCTTTGTCATCTGACCATATTGTTCAGACACTCATCACAAGTATTTAAGAATGTCTTAAAACAGAAAAATATTGGATGCAATTAGGGATATCTAGTTCACATGAGAGCTTTTGATGGAAAGTATCACATAATAGAGGCACCAGATCAAGGTATAAATCTGAATGGGGTCTTGTAGATGAAGATCAATGGAAGCAAGAAAGGGCAAAACTGGACTGCAATAAAGATCGTGAAGTCAGGCAGCGGGGATGGCCAAACCAAGGCTCGGAGCCCAGTGCAGCTCTTTGATTTCCTTTTGTGGCTCATGGCAGGTGCCGGCGTGGCACTTGCCGCCCACAGCCACTAGTAGGCTCTCAGGCGTCTCACGCTGACCACGTGTGGCTCTTCCACTGGCCGCCGCTTATATTGGACGGAGAAGGTCCAGAAAAGGAAGTCGCATGAGCAGCGGGCAGACTTTCTCCAGACCAGAAGAAGTGGTCAGGAGGAGGGAGGGATGACATGGGAAGGGAGGAGAGGAAAGAGGCAAGGGCCTGTGACGCCCGATAAATATTGGGCGTATGTGGTAAATCTGGACTGCCCCCTCTCCCCAGTGCTGCTCTCTCTCTTCCCCTCTCTTTTCTTTCTTTTTGCTAATCTTTATTTTATTATGATGCACGATATAATTGGGATGTGGCGGCGCAGTGGGTTAAACCACCGAGCCGCTGGGCTGGTTGTGCTCGAGTCTGCACAATGGGGTGAATTCCCATTGCTCCGTCCAGCTCCTGCCAGCCTTGCAGTTCGGAAGCATGCAAACGCACGTGGATAAAAAGGCGCCACTTGGGTGGGCAGGTAACAGCGTTCCGTGCACCTCGGCGTTTAGTCACGCCGGCCACACGACCACGGGGACTGTCTGCGGACAAACGCTGGCTCCCTCGGCCAGGAAACGGAGGTGAGCTCCGCCCCCGAGAGTCGGGCATGACTGGACTTAATGTCATTGGGAAATCTTTTAAGATATAATTAAAAGATGGTTACCTTTTTAATTGAAATAGTTAATATTGAGATTAATTGGAAGTAGCAATGGAAAGAGGCGTTAAGGGTATGTCTACCTGGAGTCGGTGTGGCCAGCGAGGTTCCCCGCAGCGCCTGGGACGCTGCTGCTCTGAGGGACGAAACGGGGAGATGCAAGCACCTGTCCTGGTGAGCGGCGGCTGGGTTCATTAGTGGATGCAGGGCTGGTTTCTTTCCTTGTCTTTTTTGTAGATTTATATTGATACGGGTTACGCAAGGGACATGTCTAAAACTATGAAATTGGCATCTTTGAACATCAACAGCCTGGGAAATGTAATTAAAAAGAAACAAATTGAAGCAATGATAAATAAAGATAAGGCAGATGTTGTATTTCTACAAAAAAGGCATTAAAAAAGAAGAGGTTGATGAACTTAGTGTCTTGGTCAAACATATATGAAAAAGCATGAGAATTCCACTGGGGGGGAGGTGGCAATTATTAACACTAAGATGACTGAATTTAACCTAAATAAATATTTTTTTGAAAATACAAAAGTGGTAGATTTTTGATAGTACAGGGTGAAATGAGAGAAGAGTATACACTGGTTAATTTTTATTCACTGAATGATACATTGAATTTTTAGGAAATGTATTTAAGGAAATAAGAGATAATAAAGAAGGTATTTGTAACAATGGCTGGGGATTTCAGTATGATAATGAGTAAAGATAAACTAAACCCTATTAAAGAAGAGAGTGTATATAATATCACAATATTTAATAACATGGTAAAAAATGGTTTGAACAATATATGGTGAGAAAAAAAGGTTTCCCTTTTATTCTCCATAAAACCTATTCAAGGATAGATTATATACTTTCCTATAATTGTTTTCTATAATTTTTAAATCAGATATTGGTTTGATAAAAATGATAGATCATGCATTAGTAGATATGGCTTTTAGAATTAAGGGTGATTACAAAGAAGTTAAAAGATGGAGGATGAATACTCATATTTTGCAATATAGACATATAGTAAATAAAATGGAGAAAGAAGTGAAAGAAATTTGGGAAATTAGTAACAGAAAAGGTAGTGATTATTTAATTTGGGGTAAAACCAAGGCAGTTGCAAGGGGACTAAGTATTAAAGAGATATGTAATTTTAAAAGAAAGAGGATAAAAAAATTTGGAAAGAGAAATAATGGAACTGGAGAAGAAATATATACAAAAAGGGGATTTAAATATTTTAGTAAAAGTACAAGCTAAAAGAAAAAAGTTACATAATATAGAGCTTGAAAAATACAGAGGAATTTAATTTATTTGAAGAAGGAATATTTTGAATTTAGTAAATAAATTTTGGCCAAGGTTGCACAACAAAATCAAAGTAAGAAATTAATTGGAATAGTGAAGAATGAAAATGGTAAGTAAGTTAACAAAAGAGAAACTGGGAATATTTTATAGTGTTCTTTCCAGGTTGTATATAGATGGAAAACTGTCATTTGACAAAGTTAGACTGTATAGAGAGAAAAATGTTGGAAAGAAATTACAACAGATGGACAGTCACTTAATGGAATAGTCAAACATGAAGAGATAGAAGAGATTATCAGCAAGTATGGAAAACTCTTGGGATAGAAGGATTAGGACCAGAATACTATAAAGTTTTTTAAAAGATGTTGGTTCCAAAATTAAACTCTTTTTTTCATAATATATTGGATGATACCATCTTGGAAATTTTCTTCAACAGTCTTAATTCCTAAATCTAATAAAGATCTGATAGATGCTTATAGACCTGTATAGATAGGGCTTATAGACTTATATATTTGATAAACCAAGATGGAAAAATTTTATGACAATATTTTCAAAAAGAATGTAAAAAATTATAAACTAGGATGGAAACAGTACCTAACTCTGGTAAAGTTGAACTATTGACAGCATATATTCTAACTTACATTGGAGGTCGTGGGGTCAGTACATGTTTCCATATGTGGTGGGAATGTGAATATATAATGAAATTTTGGAGAGGGGTTTTTCAAGAAAGCAGTAAAATACTGAAATTAGATACTGAAGTAAATCCTAAAATTGTATTATTGTCAATATTGATAAAGAACAATGGAGATGGAATATTAAACAATTAAAACAATTATTAACAGCTGCAAGATTAATTATAGCAAAGAACTGGAAAGTAAAATTGATCATCGATTGGGCGCTGGGTACAGAGAAGGATGGAATGTAGCCATTAATGACCAATTACCTTGTGATATTAAAAAGAAAAAAGACTAAATGCATCATAATTTTGCTGATACTGGGGACCATTTACTGAGCTTGTGCCAATAAAAGGGAAAGAATCTGAACCTCCACAAGAGCGACTCTGAGCTTGGAAATGGGACCGAATTTCTTGGTAGTGCAAAAGAACTGGCGCGCAGCTAAAGTCCTGGGTGGTGGGATGCACAGTTAGACTGTATTATGATTTCAGTTGTTTTTTTCTTCAGCTGTATTGTATTATACTGTATGTGTATTTGTTCTTTTTTCTGTTGTAAACGATTAATACAAAAGGACAGGCAGCACAGCCAGAGACGGAGGAAGGACGAGGGGCTCTGCTACGTGGGGGAAGCGCCAGGGCCAAGATGGCAGGAGTGGCCGAGCCGGGGGGGGGGGTGTTCCCACATGCACCCCTGCCCTGCTGCCCCAGACTTTCCGCCTCTCCAAACCACCAGGGCACAGGCACATGGGGATGGGGCACCGCAGCCTGTTTCGCGCAAAAATGGTGCATCCCCTAACAGGGCAGAGAGCGAAAGCAATGAATTTGGGGTGAGGGGTCTTCTTGCTCTCTCTGCAAGGGAGTCCACGCATGCCACCTCGGGGACTTGCCGGTTGCAACCAGCCGTATCCATGACCCACTGCCCTGCACCCATCAGCTTCTCTCCTGGGCACCTGCAGGCCCCGAGTCCGCTTTCCAGAGCCGGCTGATGTGCTGTGGTCCCTTACCTTGTGGACCCCCCTCCCCCAAACCACCCAGCGCCCCCCGGGGGCAAGAGACTTCTGCAAAACCCGAGCCTCTGACCAGGTCGGAGTGACAGCAGTGATCCCTGGGCAGGAGGAGCAAAGAAGAGAAGAGCTGGGGTCAGTGGTGGAGCTGCTCCTCCAGCACTTGGCTTCACCAGCGCTCACTGAGCTGCGGGGAAGGGGCGTTTCTTTCGTGGCTCCCGTTTTGCTCTCCTAAAGCACCCCCAAATCCTTTTGCTTCGTCAAGAACGCCCCGGAGGGCAGCTGGTGCAAGAAGAGCTCAAGCTTTTGCGGTGTGCTGTGGGCACCAACACCTCTTCCTGCAATCCTCCGCCGTGGTTGGCAGCCCCAGGCCATTCCTCTCACTGAGGGCCTGCAGCCGGGGGCAAAGCACCATCGTGCAGGTCAAAGGTCCCAGACCCAGTTGCCGGCACCCGCACAGCTAAAAGTGTCCAGAGAGGATGATGGGAAAGGGAGCTTCCACCACCGAAACCTTGGAGAAATGCTTCCGGTTGAAGGAGACCGTCTTGACCAGATGAACAAGGAGCCTTCCTCCCATGTGTGGCTGGGTGCTCGACTCAGTCGGCTGCAGAGGGGGAATGGCCACCCCGTGCCCCTTCTGACTGCTTTCGCGGCCACAGCCTGGGCCGAGTGGCTGGTTCAGGCCTGCGTGCCCTTCCGTCGCCGGGCCGCTCTCAGCAGCACAAGGGGCTTCCTGGCTTGGAGCTGGTGTGCAGGTCGATGGCGTGGCCCATCACACAGTGCTCCAGCTGCTCCTCCACAGCCAGGACTTGCCGCACCGCCTCCTCGAAGGCAACTGCCACGTTCGTGTCGTCCTTGGCACTCGTCTCCAGGTACGGGCAGTTCCCATGCTCCATGCACCAGGCCTGGGCCTCCTCAGGGATCACCTGTCTCTCTGCTTTGTCCACTTTGTTGCCCAGCACCACGAAGGGGAAATGGTCGGGATCCTTCACATTGGCGTAGCAGATGAACTCCTTCTGCCAGTGGCCCAGGTTCTCAAAGCTCTGCCGGTCGTCGACACTGAAGGTGAGCAGGCAGCAGTCCGCCCCCCGGTAGAAGGGGGTCCGCAGGCTCTTGAAGCGCTCCTGCCCCGCTGTGTCCCAGATCTGGAGGGTCACAAAGCGCCCGTCCACCTCCAGGTCCCGGTTGAGGAACTCCACCCCGATGGTGTGGAAGGCCTGTGAGTCAAACTTGTTGGTGACGTAGCGGTTCATGAGGGAGCTCTTCCCGACGCCGCCGTCGCCCAGGAGGATGACCTTCAGCAGCAGGGACTTCCCGCTCATGGCAGCAGCGGCAGGGCCTGGAAGGAGGCAAGGGCAGAGTGAGCCGCAGGCCTCCCCTAGCCGGGGCTGCACTCGGGCCAGCTCCCACCTCCCTCCTCTGGGGGGAGGCACAAGGGCCAGGGCAGCGGTCAGCACAGCAGCATGGACCCCCACAGGGCCCTGTTTAGCTTTGCACCGCTTTCCAGCACATGAATTCAAGGCTGCTGCTAGACGTGGGGCTGGTGGCCCAGCAAGAAGCAGCCAAACCTGCGCAGGAGCGGGCCCCTCTTTGGCTCTTGCCTGTGACGGCTAAGAGAAGGCCCCAGACGCCACCGGGGACCATCTCTTGGAGCTCTGTCCCCAGTCCTCGCCTTGGGGGCTCCCCGGGGCGCCTGGCTGGCCACGGCAGGAAAGAGGGCCCTGGCCGGAGGGGCAGCATCCGCTAGCGCTCTCCTGGGCCCACGACACCCTGCGCACACCTGCACAGCGCTGGGCATCGCGTCCACGGCCGCTCGCGCGAGGCGCGCCACTGGGGCGGGGGGGGGGGGCGGCCGCAGCGCTGCCACGGGCCCCGGGCTCGGCGTGGAGGACTGGCAAGTGGGAGTGCTGGGGCTTCGCCCCCAGCGCCCGCGCAGCCCCCACACCCGCGCGCCCCAGCGGGGACACAGGGCTGGCTGCGGGGCCAAGCAGGGCCGGGGCGGTCGGGCTCCCCGGGGCCCTCTCGCCGCCACCCACCGCCCTGCCCTGCCCTGCCCTGCCCGCGGGGGGGGGGGGCGCCCCGCCTTGCACGAGACAGCAGAGAAGCGAAGTGGGGCGCCCGTGCAAGCCAGCCGCCCGGGCAGCGGGCCCAGCCCCCGAGGGCCGCTGGCGCTGCTGCCGCGCTCACGGTCCGGCCTCGCCCGCCCTCCCGGCTGCGCGGCGCTCCGGGGGCCGAGCCTGCGGGGAGGTGCCGGGTCCCTGGGGAGGGAGGCAGCAGGGGGCGGGCACGGCCGTCGGGGAGGCGGCCTCGCGCAGCGCACCTGCCCGCCGGAGCGGCTCCCTCCAGCCCTCGCGCGGCGCTCCGGCTCTTCCCGGGAGATTAACGCGGCGGCGGCGGCGGGACCAGGCGAGCCTCCCAAGAGCGGCCCGAGCGCGCATGCGCCCGCAGCACGCGCGGACCCAAGCGTGCCCCGCCGGCCTCTCCCGGCCGCCGCCAATCGGAGGGAGGCCCCTGCTCGGCCACGCCCCCAGCGCGCGCGGCGCTCGGGGGGCGCGCGGCGTCGGGGCTGCCCGCGCGCACGGTCCCGGGGCGCCCCGAGGGCCCGCCGGTGAGGGCGAGGAGGGAGGTTCGCCGCGCACCCTCCCGGCGCGCCTCGGCCGCTGCTGCGCACGTTTCGGCGCCTGGAAGGGCCCCGAGCCTCGCGCCTTAGTCGCTGGCCCTGCCGGGTTGTCGTTGACCCGCTGGAAGGCTGAGGAAGCCGTGCCTCCCCCCGCCCCCCAGCGGCTGGAGTGCGGGCCGGCGCGGGGGCTTCCCAGCCCTCGGAGGCGAACCGAGGTGGCTGGGGGTCGCCAGACCGCCCCTCCTGCCTGGCGGAGTCCCAGCTACTTCCAGCCGGGGCTCTTCCAGCCCGTTCATTTGCATGCGGGGCGACTCGGGGATGCCCGGGCGCCACGTGGCTGCAGGCGGGCGGAGGGGTCGCGCCTGCCTGCACAGCTGCTCGGCAAGGCCAGCCCCGACCGCTCGCGCTGTGTTTGTCTGCCTCAGGGAGTGGCTGCAGTGCTGCTGACCTCCTGGAGCCGGAGGTGCCACCATAGCGAACACACACAACTTTCTTGGCTGGAACATGCCTGCAAAGCAAACACTAGTCCGGACTAGCCTTGGACTGATAGCTCCAAGAGGGGAGTGCTGAGCACAGAAATCGTTTGCATGAGCCGGCACATGTCGCCACCAGCCCTGCAAGCAGCCTGCGCTTGGGCGGTGTGATGGAGACAGCCTGGAGCTCCCACAACATTTGGCCTGTGGCTGGGTCATCACCCATGACTGGTGACAGCACATCTCTCCCCAACCAAAACAAAAAGGGAGGGTTCAGATATTTCTTCTAACTCCTGAAGAACTCAACTCTGCCAGCCTCCTGCCAGCTTGCCCAGCCCTTTGAACAAACCAAAACGGGCACATTCACTTCTGGATCTGAGCCAATGCAAACATGCGAATAAGGAGGCTTTGCAGGCTGTGATTGTCTGGAAACCTCCCAAAGATTAGTGGGGCTAGTTCAAACCCACAAGGCTCGCCACGGGCCTCAGAAGTGGACTTGTGGCTTTGTGCACAGAAAGTTGGGGAAGCTGTCCTTCCCCAGTGAGTCCCTTTGCTTCTTGCCTCAGAAAAGCCAAAGGATGCATCTTTGAGGGGCTATAGATGATGAATTGTCCTGCTATTTTATGTCACTGTGGCAGAAACGTGCAAAATCACTTCCTGAAATGCTGAGCTGGCGCAGTTTGTCAGCATCAGAGGAGATACATGAACATTTCCCCAGATTTAGTAGACTGGACTGGGCAGAGGGTCCTCAAAGTGGGGAAGGCTGAGGCCTGGCTGCTGTGGAGAAGATGGACTCCCCTTTTCCCTGCTAAACAGAGGTCTCTGCCTGTCCCACTGCTCGGGTTGCAGGATCATTCCCCCAAAGCGCTACCTCCATGGCCACTTGCTGCTTGTCACTCATTCCAAAAGGGGAAGGGGAAAAACACAGAAACCAGCAGCCCTGTAACATGAGTGTTCCCTGCTGGCTCCCTGCCCCGCTCCGAGACCACGTTGCTTGGCCGCTGGTCCCAGGGCTGCCTTCCTGCCCTGCTCCTCCCAGTGCTGGCACATGTCTCCTGCTCTTGAGCTGGGGCACCCATGCTGGCTGCTGGGAGAGATGAGTGGGCCCAGCGAGCTAGGGGTGTGCCCACAGCAGAGCAGGGTCCCCTCACCCCTTTCTGCAGCAGTGGAGGCCTTGCTCAGCTCCTGGCAGCCTGAGAGGGCATTCTGGCTGCCTGCCCCCATGGGGGCACATTTGCATGGGGGAAGCAGCTGTCTGGTTCACGTGGGGCCCTGCTGAGCATCAGCGGAAGCAGGCGCTGGGGCTCTTCGCTGCAGCACATGCAGCCCAAGGCTCTCGCATCAGCCTGCCCTGCCACCTTCCCCAACCTCAGCCTTCCTGCCTGGGGGTGGTGTGGGAAACAGCTGCTGTGGCATCTCTGTGGGGCAAAAGCTTTGAAGTGGAGAAGCCCACAGCTGCTGCCATCCTGTCCTCTCACTGGAGCCTGAGCCAAAATCTCAGCATGCCATGCAGCATAGTTTTTCTGCACGCGCGCACACACACACACGGCCAGCATCTTACCTGGCTGAATCTTGGGTCAAAAGGCAGCATTTCATCAAGCGGTAGGGGACGGAAGCATGTCCAGGACTCTGTTTCGAGAAGGCGCACATAAGTTGCCACATTTCTCTGGCTGCTGCCGCAGGAAGCCAACAGAAGTGTGGCCTTTGAGGATGCCCTGGGGTCTCTGCCAGATGGAGACTCCGTTCGGCATGTGGATAGGCCCTGGTCCGTTCCCTAGGGGTGCCAGGCTGAGCTGGGAAAGGATCCCGCTGGAAACCTTGGAGAGCCACTGCTGCCAGTCAGGGCCGTGTCCCAGGTCAGGTGGGGGGCTGGCTCGATCTAAGGCAGCTTCCTGCAGTCCTAAACCAGCTCAGCTGCTTTCTAGAAATGGAGCGCCTCCTTGTCCCCACCTTGCATCTCCCACAAACTCGCCGATCTCAAGCCATAGTTTCCTGGTCCATATACCACAAGCTTTTCGAAGAGAGATGGGTTGGAAAGGTGGCTTTTCGTCCGTGGACTGCTCCGAAAGGAGGGCAGGCGCCTTTGGCTTGCTCAAGTATCACTGAGGGGCAGGTCAATGTGGCGGACTCAGCCTGCCCGCAGTGGCTCTTGCTGGGAAGTGCACTGCCCCGCCTCGTCCCCAGTGATGCCTGCTTCCCCAGGGGGACTTGTGGGCGGAGGGGCTGTGGCCGACAGGGCAGGAGAAGCCTCCTCAGCCGTGCCTGCCGCACTCCTGCCCTCCGCTAAGCAGGGAGTCTTGGCAGCACACGCTCTGGCAGGCTGCAGGCAGAAGGGACCTCGTGGGGCCCCAGCCCCTGTGCTCGCCCCACGCTGGGTGGGGAGGCGGCAGCTGCCCTCCCCACTCGCTCGCTCTGCTCCACAGATCCACCCAGCGCCTTCCCTGAGGTTGCACGGACTGGGGCATGCGGGACAAAAGCATGCATGGTGGGACAGGGTTGGACTTGCTGCTGCGCTTCTTCGCAGCGGGAGGGAGGCTGCTCAGCCCCAGAGCCACCATTCCAAGTGCAAAACAAAGGGAAGGAGCGCCTCGCCAGCTCCTGGGCAGAGCGCCTTGCCCGTCTCCTCCAGAAGCACAAAATCAGAGGGGCGCAGCCGAGCGCCCGCGGCCCTTCCTGCCAAAGCACATACCAAACGCCCCATAACATTGGCGGGTGCTGCAGCGGGAAGCGTGGCCTCCCCAACCCGCCAGCGCCAGCAGCTACCCCAAGGGGGCTTCGGGGCATCCTTCCCGCCTCCCCCTGCGCTGCAATTCCAGAACGCTGAAGCATTTGAAGTGCATGGGGCAGGGCATGTGCTCTGCATGCAAAGCAGGACCGGTCCTCCAGCAGGGCTGTGCAGGACCCACTGGAGGGCCTGGACTCTGCGGCCGCCTGTGCAGGCCGCTCCACCCCTCCCAGGCCACCTCTTGAGGGGCTGTCCGTCCCCGGCCTCCGTGCAGCTTCTCTTCCACCCTGAATGCCTGAGGGGCAGGAGGAGCTTTAAGCTAACAGGTGCGGATATTTCTGGTGTGAGGGCACCATCCCTTCCGCACACCTCCTTTTGCCTTCTGCCTGCCCACCCCTCCTCCCCAGAAGCCCCCCCCCACTGAAAGAGGTTCTGCACGCCCACTGTGGACAGTCCTCAGCTGGCAGGGGAGGCCCAGAAGTGGGAGTTCGTCGTGTGTGTTGCACTCTCGGTGGAAGCCACTGGCACTTGGACTTCCTGCCTGCTGAGCTGAGCCGAGGGCTGTGCTCGTCCTCGGAAGGGAAGGCAAAACGGGGCCTGGCTTGCAAAATGAAGGCACAGAGGAAGTCGACTGAAGCAGCTGCTTCTGCGCTCCCACTTCCCTCGCTCACTTCCCCTTTCGCCTGCCTTTGGCGAGCATCTTGCACAGAGGCAACCGACCAGTCTGGCGTCAGACCAGGCCGGGGAAATGTGGGGCTGCTGATACACCAGACCTAGCGAGTCTCCCGTTTGCGAGTGCGGCACATCGGCAGCTTCCCCGAGCAGAAGCGTCCTTCGGGTGGGAAAGATATGAAGGCCCATGGCACACTGGAGGCACACGGGGCAGTAGCACTGGGGCTGGGAGTCTTTTTCCAGCGTTTCCCCTCTCACAAGCAGCGACAACCCGCACGGCCGTCACTTCGGGCTTGTGCCAGGCATACTGCATCCGCGCCGGCAGTCCCGGGCTCTTTAACTTCACACTGCTCATTTGTTCAGGTGCTCTTGGCACCCCAGCCTGTTAACCTGAGCGCACCCCCAGATCAAACCAACGCTGCAGCACTGAGCCTTACAACACAGCACCCACCCAACTCCCTGCCCTTCCTAGTTTTTATTTCTAGTTAAAAATAAATAGCACAGATGGCAGTGTTTCACACTTCCTTCATCAGTCCTTAAACTTGAGACTCCTGGCTTTTCCTTCTGGTCTCACCAACTTGCCTTCTGGGAAATGTGTATTTTTTGACTGGCCACAGCAGCCCTTTTATGAGCACCTGCAAGATACTCAGAACTCCGAATACGACAAGCGACTGCTGGCAAGAAGCCCTGGTGCATCTTTTCCAGCATCCACCTAAACGCCTCAGAGACAACTGGCTGTGGCACCTCTTGGCCCCAGTGGCTGGAAACTGGATAGTGGCAAGACTTCCCTTTCCTACCTGCCTATTTTTCCAGCAGAGGAATGGCAGCTTTCGAACTCCAAACACCACATGGGAGGCAAGGAAAGTAGCGGAGCCCCAAGATCTACATCAAGGGTGGCCCTGGAACACACATCTTCTCCCGTGCAAGCCAAGCCACTGGAGTGCATTTCCTTCCAGATGGACCTGGACCCACTGGGGGGCTGGGGGGGGGGAGACCCCTGCGGGTGCTTGTGCAGGAGGCACCGGAGCCGGAAGCAACCCGAGGGTCCAGCACCCCACCTTTCCTCAAGGTAGGAAGGGGGCCCTTGACGTGCCTCTCCTCACAGTGGAGGCCACCTCTGCCTGGGGAACACGAAGGGGTCTCGCTCCCGCTTGCTCCTTGCTGCAGCAACACCTTGAGCTCAGCTCACCTTCAGGCACAGGAGGGGCCGGGTTGCATCGCCCAGTTAAAACCGGGCCCGCAGTGCAGCTGCCGAACTCTTCTGGCCTTTAGCAACCGCTGCAAGAGGCGGCCACCCATCTTGCTGCTGCTGCTGCTGAGAACACTCCATGCCTGGGAGGAGCAGGCCTGCCTCATGCCACAGGGCCATCTTCCACCGGCCCACCGCCCCCAGGGCAGCCGTGCTGGGGAAGGCTGGGAGCCGGCAGCATGCTTCCTCCCTGGCTGCCGCCACAGCACACTGGTGTGGGGAAAGCCAAAGATGCCCGCTGGATGGAGGGAATGGCGACACCTCCTCTTGCCTAGCAGCACCCGGGGCAGGAAAGCCACGGTCTCAGATGCTAGGGAAAAGGGGGTGGTGTCCTGCCAGCACTGGGGGTGGGATTAGGGTCAGGGATTGGCCCAAAAGGGGCAACGCTGACTTAACTGGGAGTGGAACTGTATCTCAGCTGAACTGTTCCCACTTGAAAAAATCCTGTCCTCCTTTAGCACCGCTCAAAGTGAGCGGCCACAAAAGCAGTCAAGAGGATAAGAACAAAGTCAGGGGCGGCGGCAGCCCTTCATGCGTCAAGGTTGCAGAAAACCCACAAGACACTTCAGTAGAAATCATTTTTCAAGTTTAATAGTTTGTCTCCATTTCATTCATAGGAAAACAAATTAAGTACAGCTGCAGAACCGATTATAAGCAGATGGATCGGATGGGCCTCAAATACTAGAATTGCCCCATCTGGCGGGGAGGGGGAGGGAAAGAGGGAAAGGGGTTGGCTTCGGCTTCGTGGGTGGTGGGAGAGGGAACAGGTCCTTGGAACCCCATTTCTGTATCATTTGCTCTTCCCACTTCACGTCAGGCATTGGCGGTTATCATCAAAGGAGGCAGCCGAACCAAAGGAGGGCTGCCCTGGCCAGATGCCGGAGGGACTCAAGTAGTGAAAAGATTATGACTGCAATGCAAGGCTGCCGATTGTTCAATACATGGCATTAAAAAAAACCCAGTTAATTCAAGAACAGAAAGACAAAAAAGGAAGCGAGCTGGCGCTTCGTGCGAAGGGGCCATCTCTATGAGGACTTCACAGACTCTTTCTCCTGTTCGATGGCTGAAAGAGAAAAGGGAACTGTTAGGGCCAACAGGCAGCCTTCTGCTGTAGCTGTCTGAGGGGCCTGCTAGAGGGGCAGGTCCGATCTTGGAAGAGCATCCCACTGGGAGTAAGGCACGTGGGGCACGGGAGCCCGAGAGCCCCACAGTACCCCCCCAACCATGCCCCACGGCACTCCCCCACCCTTCCTTTCCTCAGAACAGCATCTGATGGCTTCGGAGGCCTGCATAGTTTCCCCCCTTCAAGCAGCTGAAATGCCTCTGCGAAGGCTTGGGGCCGTGCAGTAACAGCTTTACACTGCAAAATGCTGGAGTTTTTGGCTGCAGCCCTTTGGCTTTTGCCCCCCCCCCCACCCCGCCCCGCCCCGCCCCGCCCATGCAGTCCTGAGGAGCAATCAAAGAGAACCGAATTTGGTCTGCCTGTAAAAAAATTGTTGCAGTTCAAGTACTGAACTCAGCCACGCACCCCACTATGGGCAGCAGCTGGATGGAAAGCTCGGGTGCCCCCAGGTGGGGCCTTCCATTCCAGGCAGTCAGTTCCGCTCTTGCCCCTCTTAGGTGCAGCAGCAGAGAAATACACGGCATTTACAGATGAAAATGGGCACCGTCACCGGTTCTGCCAGGCAGGTGTGAGGAGTGCCTGGCATGTGCAGGTGCCCTTCCAAGGAAAGGAGTGGCAGGTCACGTCAGAAGGCTCTTATCAGCTCTGGTGGCAGATGCCGCTTCTTTTGAAAACAGACCTAGGCTGCCAACAGGAAGTGGTGAGCAGCCATGCCTCCAGCAGGGCTCCAGAGCAGCCCGGACATGCTCAAGTCCTCCTGGACGGCCATTCCTCAACGGTGAGGTCAACAGCAGAAGGCACCGCGGTGGCCACTTGAAACTCCTCTTGGGCTGCCACAGGCAGACCCGAGAAGACGAGGTCCGAGGGCCGCCAGAGCAATGCAGGGCGGGCGGCTCCCGCAGAACAAAGGCCTGCTCCAGAGCCGAGGACCCCGCCCTCCCGCTCCCTCCGCAGCGCGGAGCCCCGAGCTCGGAGGACGCTGCTGGCCGCCCCGCGGCACGGTCCTACCGCTCCGATGGCCGCAGCCAAGCCCTGGCCTGGTTCCAGCAGCGCACATGGGCGGGCGGGCGGGCACGCTCCCAGGCAAGGCACCGACCGGGCACAGAAGCGGCAGCCCCAAACGGCCGCCTCCCGCCACAGCAGCACATTCGTTTGCGCCTGCCAAGCGGCGAGGTCCCCGCTCGGCCGCAGGGCTACGAGCGCCGCAGCCTGCGCAGCAGCTGGAGCAACCGCGGGGGCCCTCCCGCCAGGATACTCACTCTCCTTGGAAGGAAGCGTGTTCTTCTCTTCCGTGTTGGTCTTCTTCAGCTTCTTCTTATCGAACTTCTCCACTTCAGACAGATCTGGTTTGTCACACATCTTGGCCCCCGGAAGACGAGCGATCCAACGCGGACTACAAGAAGCCCCAGAGCCGCGCGTCAGCCAGGCCGGCGCAGCGGCCAGCACCCCGCTCGCCACGTGTCCGCACGCCCTGCCAGGACGCACGGGAAGCGGGAGCGCCCCCCGCGCAGGGCCGGGCCCCGAGGCGGCGGCGAGCCATGCGGCACGGGCGCGGCCCGCCGGGCGCCAGGCGCCGCGAAAGGCGCGCTCCGGCCGACCCCGAGCC